AGTGACCTAACCCTCCATGAATTTTCACAATTCCTGTTAACTACAGGGTAGACCTGGTGGCTTTCCTCTGATGAGTCAAATAAGCAAAAATGACGGATGTCATTTCCAAGACTGGGCTGCCAAGAGTCACATGAGTGAATTTCTAAATGGATCCTCCTTTAATCAAGCCTTGAGATGACAGACCAACACCTTAATTCTTTCTTGTGAGAGAATCCAGTAAGAGATTCAAAGCTAAGCACATTGAGATTCCTGACAAACAGAAGCATATTAAATGTATGTTATTTTAAGTTGCTATATTTGGGTATAATTTGTTACACAGCAATAGAGAACTACTACAACCCTCAACTAACAAAGGAAAAGTTCATATTCAGTGACTGAATCTTGCCACAGAAATCATTTCTATAGGATGGGAACCTATCACAACTAACATGTTTTTTTTTTTTCAGCATGACCAATTCAATCTAGACATCTTTTACTTTTACAACACTTGAAAGTCTATTTTCAAGATAAGAATAACCCCATCTTCCCATTCCCCACCCCCCAATGATCTGATACCTCAAATAAAATGAACAAAGGCAGATTTGCAAACTAGCAACTGGAAAGTCCAAGTCCTCAATGTTATAATGTGGCAAATTGTCTGGTTAGAAAGAGGCCAGAGAGGGAAGTATGTGCTGAAGCTGCCCTTTCTGGTCTTGTATGAGTAATTCTTACAGCTGGAGTTTCTCTACAACCACAGGATTGTGGTACCACCAAGGCAGCCATTTTTAAATCTGGTCTGACATCAGAATGTAATTCAACTAGATAAACCTGGGTCATAGCCAAAAAAAGTAGCATTAAGAAAAACTGGAACCAATGACTAGCATTAGTTCTCTGTGGAGCCATATGACTACAGAGTGAAGAAATAAAGGCCTTTGTTGTTTCAAAGGGCAGGGACAACTGAAGTTTTACAGTGGACAAGTAATGAAAATTTCCACCCTTAGCTTTCCAAAGAAGATAATAGTTAGTGTCTTCGGCAATTGGATGTGGAAGGTGTTGCTTAAAAGTTAAAATTGATCCTGGACAGAATATAAACCAATGCTGCTACATTTAACCTAAAATTGATTACTTAACCCCCTAGGCTGTGTACTTACTTTGTCTAATCTACTCCCCTGCCCCCTTAACATTGTATCAGGTAAAGTGTGGAAAACTCCTGCATGTCTCACAAACAGTAATTCCTTATTTTCCACAAACAGCAAATTAAAATTTTTCATAATTTTGGAGTGAGTTTGCATTACTAAAATCACCTTTAAACAACAAAAAATAATTCTCCCCTTACCCCCACCCCCAAAATTCCTTTCCTTTTTCACTATACTGTCTTGAAAGCAAGAGAACTCACATCTGTGGTACTTTCCATCTGGGGTAGGTTTTCTATATTCTCATGCTAAAATTAAGGAGTTCTGGAGGCGTAGTAGTTACAAATAGGGCTGCGAACCGCAAGGCCAGCAGTTCAGCAGTTCGAAACTACCAGCTGCTCGTAGGAGAAAGATCAGGCTTTCTGCTCCCGTAATGATTTACAGCCTCGGAAACCCTGTTCAGGGTCGCTATGGGTCGGAAACGACTCGACGGCACTTAACAACAACAACAATGCTAAGATTAGGAATCCTGGTGTGGCCACTGCAGGGTAATGAGCTCCACCACAAGGTCATGGTTCAAACCCACCAGCCTCTCCTTGGAAGCCCTTTATTAAGTGATCGAAGGCACTTAATAACGACAATGCTAAGATTATGGAGCCCTGGAGGCACAGTACAGACCAAACTAACTTGAGGCAGTTCTACTTTGTCTACAGGGTCACCTGTGAGTTGAAATTGACTGAGACAGACTGTTTTAGAAATATTTTACGGATCACCTGTAGTTTTTTTTAAAAAAAGGGGGGGGGTGTCTCTTTTTTTTCCCTAAATATTATTCCTGTTACCTAACATAAGGGAGCTGTCTGGAGCTATAATAGGAGTTGAAGCTCATCAACTAAATTGGTTTTAGTTGTGTTTGGGTATTTTTACTCTGTCTGTTTTCATTTTATTTGATGGCAGTACTTCTATTTTTCATTCAATAAGCAAAGATGACTTAGATCAGCAGCCTGATGAATAAGCATGAAAATTTGATTTAGAAAAGAAGACCCTGAAGAGTTCATGGAGAAAAGGAAAGATTTCCAAACCATCATTCTCCCCCCAACCCACCCAACCCACCCACACGCATACTTTAAATGACAATGCAAAGCGGCAGCATTGTCTTCAAATCACCTACATCTTTCATCTTTCAACACAATAACAAAGTTCCTTCCTGTTAGGTAGTAACTCACCTTCCCAATGCCTTGAATGATAATTTAGAAAAGAATGAAACATTTTAAATGCAATTATCATTCATCCTTCGTATTTCTTTGAGACCCATACACCAATGGGGAAACATTAGCATCCCTGGTGTGAGGGGAAACAACTCAGGCCTAGGAGGAAAAAGATGAGGATTCCGCTTGAGGGCTGGAAGGAGCATGAGAGCAGTCTGACACCTACATTCGGCCCTCCAGACGCAGCAACTGGAGAATGAGTGACAAATGACATGGAACTGTGAAGTGGAAGATTCCCTGTAAAGTTCTGTAATTAAATAAAAGAAACACAGAGCAGGGCGAAATCTCCCATGGTTGGGAGTTCAAATAATTGTCTTAGAGTTCAGAATCCGTTTTTTTCTTGCTGGAGAAGTGCACCAGTGGCAGCAGAGGCAGCAACTTTTGCAAACACTCAACCTCAGAGCTCCAGCATCCGAAATGAGACTGGCAGAGGGCTCGACAGGAGTAACATTTCTAAAAGCATAGGCTCACTGTGTATGTGTGTGAGTGAGACAGAGAAAGAGACCGAGATCATTTTCCCCTGTTTTCTCAACAGGTCACTTTCCTAAATGGGGATTAAGCATACTCCTCACTACGTGGGGAGAGGAGCGACACCTCCCCCCTGCACGCTACCCCCCCACCCCCAGCGTAACTTCCGACCCCGCCAGGCATAACCCGAGGGCGCGCGCGCGATCGCCCAGCGCCTGGAGTCGAGCAAAGATTTGACCAAGAACAAAGGAACGCTTGCCAGTCAGAAAGCACTACCCGAGAACCCCCTCTTTGTGTTTGGAAAACTCCATAATTAGCAGATGGCCCTGTTTCTAATATGCATTGCAATTTTTCTACGCAAGATTCCAAATGTAAGGTCAAGTTATTGCTCCTGCAAAGAAGATGGGATGCACGCCAGAGAAGTAAGGAAAATTGGGTAGTCGAAGACGCACTTCAAATGTATTGAGTGTTCCCTGCCTTCGGTCTCAGATTTACTTTTGTAATCATTTCCCTCAAACATTGTCTTAGTTTCCCCATAAGCTCACTAGAGCACACTAGCAACCATGAGCGCGAGCGGGGTGTCAGGGAATAGGGTCTTCCGGACCCGGCCCGCGCCCAGGGGTCTGCATTCCTTCACGCCGAAACCAGCTTCCCTCTGCCCGAATCCGATTTCTTCGCGGAGGGGGCCCTTCCTCCTTTTTACAACTCTAGGATCCCGGGGGATGGGGTGGGGGGGGAAAGGCGATTGTGACCTCACGTGGTTTACTTAGTACGTGAGGTCAAAGCGACCCTCAAGGCGCATCCCTTCTCACTTCGTACCAAACCCCACATTTAAGATCGCCACCCAAAAGCCCCCGCCAGACGCCCACGTTTTGAAGCTGGGCAGGCTAACGTGACTCCAAGTCCCGTCTTTCTGCTGAGACGCAGTGCAATTCTGTCTCCTCCCCACCCCACCCCCCCAAAAAAAAACCTTTCACGAATGCGTCCTTCAGCTCAGGAATGCGTATTTTAGTGTACCCGGAAGAGGAGCAAATCTTTCAAGTAAATTCCCTTTCTGGTGCGTTTTTTCTGCCAGAGCGAATTCAGGATAAGTTTTCACTAACTTTTTCTACCCAGCCCCCGCCCCTCACCTCAGGAATCCGCCCAAAGCGTTGCAGACACCGCCTCCCGCGTTCCCTCGCCCGCCTCCTCCGACTTCCACCCAATCCTACGGCGAGTCCAGAGAAAACAAAAGCTGCTATTGGTCTGTCCTGAGACGGAGGGTGCGCCCCCGGAGTGGTTTGTGAATGGGGGGAGGGGTGGGGGCGGGACGGCCCGAATCCCTGCGAGTCGGACACTTCTTCTGCGGAGTTGCGCGGCTGTGAAGCGTTACTTGGTGCTCCCTCCCGGTGGGCGACGGTGAGCAGACCGGGACTGAGTGGGGCTGGAGAGGCCGGGCCAGGCCGCGGGCGCCGCCGGGGCCTCGCAGCTTTGGAAGCTGTGTAACAGGATTTCCAAAAAGAAGTTGCTGAGCTCTTGCCTGTAAGGCGCAGACTGAACTCTTGAGAGAGAATCAGCCGTTTGGCTGAAAGTTGGGGCCGAGCTTTTGACGCTGAAGTAGGAGCTGAGATTGGAGAAGAGGCGAGAAGAGGAGGTGGCGGCGAGCGGAGCCTCGAGGCGAGGAGGCGGAGCAGCAGCGCCGAGGCGGCGGCCCTGGGGAGCAGGCGGCGACGCCGGACTCTAGTCTGACGGGGACGGACTTGGTGTGGGGAGCGTGCGCGTTACTGTGCGCTGGGGGTCGAGAGACTTGGGCAAACTTTGAAGGGTAACCGGAGACGCTTGTTGCTCTTCGCCGCAGAGAAAGCCGCACCGTTACGTCTCGGCGAGAAGAAGGCGGGCCCCTCTCGGCGCCCCCGGCCCAGGCGGACGAGTTTGGGTCCCTGGCAGCCGGCGACTGTTGGGCGGAGACGGCTGCGGCGCCCCTGCGGCTGGCGGCCTCGCCCCCGCGGCGCGGGCACCCGGGCGGCAGCGCCCTCGGCTCCGCGCCGCCCACGACCGGGCCCAGGCGCCGGGCTGATTCTCATGCGCCGGGCGCAGCGGCGCCCCCCCGAATCCCAGCCTCTCCCGGCCGCCTGGTCGCGTTTCTCCGGCTGAGAGCGCCACTGCACCCGCGGCCGGCGATGCGGGGCCCCGGCGCGGCCGCGTCACGCTCGCCCCTAGGCCTATGCGCCCTAGTGCTGGCGCTGCTGGGCGCGCTGCCGGCGGGCGCTGGGGCGCAGTCGTACCACGGCGAGAAGGGCATCTCCGTGCCAGACCACGGCTTCTGCCAGCCCATCTCCATTCCGCTGTGCACGGACATCGCCTACAACCAGACCATCCTGCCCAATCTGCTGGGCCACACGAACCAAGAAGACGCGGGCCTCGAAGTACACCAGTTCTACCCACTGGTGAAGGTGCAGTGTTCGCCCGAGCTGCGCTTCTTCCTGTGCTCCATGTACGCGCCCGTGTGCACGGTCCTCGAGCAGGCCATACCGCCGTGCCGTTCTCTGTGTGAACGCGCCCGCCAGGGCTGCGAGGCTCTCATGAATAAGTTCGGCTTCCAGTGGCCTGAGCGGCTGCGTTGTGAGAACTTTCCGGTACACGGCGCGGGTGAGATCTGCGTGGGCCAGAACACGTCGGACGGCTCCGGGGGCCCTGGTGGTGGTCCCACTGCCTACCCCACGGCGCCCTACCTGCCCGACCTGCCCTTCACCGCGCTGCCCCCAGGGGCCGCCGACGGCAGGGGCCGCTCCGCCTTCCCCTTCGCGTGCCCTCGACAGCTCAAAGTGCCCCCCTATTTGGGCTACCGCTTCTTAGGCGAGCGCGACTGCGGCGCCCCGTGCGAGCCGGGCCGCGCCAACGGCCTCATGTACTTCAAGGAGGAGGAGAGGCGCTTCGCCCGCCTCTGGGTGGGCGTGTGGTCGGTGCTGTGCTGTGCGTCGACCCTCTTCACCGTGCTTACCTACCTGGTGGACATGCGGCGCTTCAGCTACCCTGAGCGGCCCATCATCTTCCTGTCGGGCTGCTACTTCATGGTGGCCTTGGCGCACGTGGCCGGTTTCCTGCTGGAGGACCGCGCAGTGTGCGTGGAGCGCTTCTCGGACGACGGCTACCGCACGGTGGCGCAGGGCACTAAGAAGGAAGGCTGCACCATCCTCTTCATGGTGCTCTACTTCTTCGGCATGGCCAGCTCCATCTGGTGGGTCATCCTGTCGCTCACCTGGTTCCTGGCGGCCGGAATGAAGTGGGGTCACGAGGCCATCGAGGCCAACTCGCAATACTTCCACCTGGCCGCGTGGGCCGTGCCCGCCGTCAAGACCATCACCATCCTGGCCATGGGCCAGGTGGACGGGGACCTGCTCAGCGGGGTGTGCTACGTGGGCCTGTCGAGCGTTGATGCGTTGCGGGGCTTCGTGCTGGCGCCCCTGTTTGTCTACCTCTTCATCGGCACGTCCTTCCTGCTGGCCGGCTTCGTGTCTCTCTTCCGCATCCGCACCATCATGAAGCACGACGGCACCAAGACGGAGAAGCTGGAGAAGCTCATGGTGCGCATCGGCGTCTTCAGCGTGCTTTACACGGTGCCCGCCACCATCGTACTGGCCTGCTACTTCTACGAGCAGACTTTTCGGGAGCACTGGGAGCGTACCTGGCTCCTACAGACCTGCAAGAGCTACGCCGTGCCCTGCCCGCCTGGCCATTTCCCGCCCATGAGCCCCGACTTCACCGTTTTCATGATCAAGTATCTGATGACCATGATCGTGGGCATCACCACCGGCTTCTGGATCTGGTCGGGCAAGACCCTGCAGTCGTGGCGCCGCTTCTACCATAGACTCAGCCACAGCAGTAAGGGGGAAACTGCGGTATGAGCCCCGGACCCTCCCTCGCCCCTCCCTGCCTCCTGGCCTGGGGAAGAGGCCTAGTTGGGAGAGAATTGCTGGTGGGGAGGAGGGGATCTGTATGTAACCTTTTCTCTCCGCCATTGAGCAGTGACCTAGATGAAAGAAGGCAGTTGCCGATTTGGGGTTAGGGATGGGTTTGGCAAGGAGGCCTGGGTGGAAAATGGCTCGGGGTGAAGAGACTTGTGGCCTAAAGACTTGCGGAATCCTGGTGGTGATGATGTGATGGTGTTGATCCTGTAAACTACAGGCAGATTTGGGCTGATGGAGAAAACAGAGCTGCAGACCGCTGCGGAGTTCTTCCCGGCGCAGGGGCTGCAACTGGGACTAGTGAGCCGTTCCTCCGCTGCATAAAATACAGAGGAGGAACTTTAGTGGTCTGTGCCCAGGCCTGTGAGGCCCGGGTGAAAGGTACAGCTCTGTCTGTGGCCGCCTCTTTGTTGGGAAGAGGGAGGACTCCCTGTAGTGCCCTTGTCAAGTGGTGGTCAAACCGTAATCTCTTTTCACTAAGGCCAAACTGGAGCCCAGATGGGTTAATTTCCAGGGTCAGACATTACAGTCTCTCCTCCCGCCTGTCCCCCCCTCCCCTCCCCCCCCCCCCCCCAACACACACCCCGTTCCTTTCAAGTCCTGTAAAATCAGCATTTGAAAGTCTTGGGAGGCCTGCCTCCTAGAATCCTAATGTGGGGATGCGAAAGAAATTACGCTAACATTTCGATATGAGCCAGAGGAGACAAGTAGTATTTTTTGCGACTTTTTAATTTCTGGGAAGACGCGAAGAAAGAAGGGTGTTTTATTTGGTTTAATACCCTGAAAAGTGATTACTGGTTGCTTTTCCCCGTCTTTGTTGTAAGAGACAAAAGAGGAAACAAAAGTGTCTCCCTGTGGAAAGGCATAACTGTGAAGACAGCAACTTTTCTAAGCAAAGTAGCACAAAACTGAGGTTTCCCTTTGGGTGTTAATTTGGTTGAGATAAACATTCCTTTTTAAGGAAAAGTGACAAGCAATGCGCTTTCAAGCCCCACTAAGTCAGAGGTTCTGACTTGGCTAAAGAAAATGCAAAGGGTTTTGTTGTGTTTTGTTTTAAGTAAATTTAATTCCGAACACATGAACCAACAGACTCGGTTAAAATGGGAAATCTCTGCCCCCCTCCCCTTATTTTTCCTTTCTTTAAGCCTGTATTTCGGTTTTCTTTTATCTCCAATTTGAATCCTTCAAGATAAAAAGAAGAGTGTAATACCTGCAGCCTCATCATAAAGGAAATTTTTTCAAAAAAGTAAAGAACCATTTTGTCCTATTTTCTTAATTCCATACATCTGTTTGTAAAACGTGTGTGCTGACCCTGTCTTTGTGACTGCGTGGGGAGGGGATTTCCAGAGATGACATAGTGAATGCAGAGGAAAGTTGGACCCATGGGCCCAATTTCTTAAAGTCATTAAAAGAAGGTAAACTTCAAAGTAATTCTGGAGTTTTTTGAAATGTGCTGGATGAGTTAAATTTATGAATCAAAACATATCCTTTTTTCTGTAGTAGAACTCTAATTCTTTCACATAATGGTCTAAAACTGAGCAGAGAGGCATGGAAGCAAAGCTTTACTCCACCTTTGACACTGCTCTCCACTCGCTTCTCACACTAGCTGGTTCCTCAGAAGTTTTAAGGTACCAACAGAGAGGACAGGGTACTGTCAGGAGTACAAGTTATTTGGTAGATGTAATGTTTCGTTGAGTGGAGCTGCTTTTGATATGAAAGTTAAAATTGACTGTTGTGTTTCTTAAAGCTTCAAAATGGTCTCATCTGCCAGATTTTGAAAACTCCCATGACACAGGTTTTGGGTATCTTATGTGTTGTTTCACTTAAGTGCATGTGAAAATTGTAAAATAGAGACAAGTGCAGTATGTATATTTTGTAAATCTCCCTTTTTTGTAAGAAAATATATATTGTATTTATACATTTTTACTTTGGACTTTTGTTTTGCCTTTAAAGGTCTACAATGAAGCCCCACTTTATCACATGTACAGATCACAAATAAATTTTTTTAAAAAATACAAAGGTCAAAGGTGAATGTTTCTTTAGTTTGCTGTGCCTATATCTCGTTAAGCCAAAGAGCAGAACTTTGTATTATGGAAAGAAGGTATACAGGGATACTTGGTTGTGTCCCCTATTGAGGAAGATATGTTATATATTACTGAAGTCTTTTTGTTCTCTTGCCTTTAAAAATACAGAGTGTAATGAATGCTTTGGCAGTCCTAATTTTTTTTCCTGTAGTTGCTGCCTTCCTACATGTACTCCCCACCACCGCTACCACCCGCCCACACACCCAAATGTTTTCAGTCTGGTTCAGATGAATTATTGAAGATATAGAATAAGCATTTATTACAAAACAGAGCAGTCTTGGCCTGATCCATGTGAAAGCAAGGCCTGGTGAACTGATTGCGCAAAGATTAAAAAACAAAACAAGGAATGGGTAATTGTACTCTGCTCTGGTATATGGGGTTGTCACACCAGGTTTGGTTTTTTGTTTTTATTGTCTAATGCCTGTTTTTACTTCCATTAGAAGATGAAGTTCATATTAGTAAGAGGATTAGAAGATATTTTTGGTATTTTCTGCTTTTCTAGTGATGTTTTCTTCTGACTTCATGAGTTGTTTTTATTTTTAAAGGATTGATGTTTGTATTGTAGTGCAATGCTTTGGGTTCAGGTGATAGAGAAGTCAGTAGATGCTTCCATATAATAGTAGAGAAGACTTGCCTGTTGAGGTTTCTCTGCTGAAGGCATCACTCTGCCTTCTAGGTAAACTGGAACCCTGAGGTTCCAGTGTCTCAGCAGCTCCTGCAGGAATAGACTCCAGGCCTGACCCTGGGATGGCCTCAGAAGCCACTGAAGCTATTCTTTCCTCTTGTAGGAGAGGCTAACTTTGGAATCAGATGACGGAGAGGCCTTCACTATTCAGACACTTTGATATTAAACAGTCCCTATGGGAAATGACAAAGACATTCTAATCTTTCCCATTCCAAACCTTGCTCAAATTTTTTCATTCAACCTCTTTACTTCAGACGTTTGTTTCCTGGCTTTTTATAAAATAGTTTCTTCCTGGTCCAGCGGCAGATTGGATACTGCTGTTTCTTCTTCCCTGCTTCAGCTCGAAATTTCTGGAGTTCTAACACTCAACAGAAACAGTTCTGTTTTTGTTTTAATTAACAGGCTCACACACATGGGTGGTGTGTTTTACAAACACATGGAATGAAAACCAGTGACAGACAGCTCTCCCCAGGAGGAGGAAGCAGCTTGTATGCTCTGCATAGCAGCGTTCCTTTATGATCCTCCTGGGTTTTGAACATCACACTGAGTGGGTGTGGGATCATCTTAACCTGTGAAGATTTTGGCATCAAGGAAGTTAAAAAAAAAAAAATACTGACTTCAAGTCTCTTAAGATTTAGCCAGTTTTTGTTCATAAAATGACACCTTTTAGGTTAAAGTATGCAAGCATACATTCCTCTCTTAACACAAAACAAATAACGCCTGTTAAGAATGCTTGCTTTTAGAGTAGATGGAAGGCTCCCAATGGGGTTTTGCTCCCAATTTAACTGCTAAAGACACTTAGAACCTTCTAGTGGGAAAGCTGTGTGACTGTTCCTATAAATGTGTCCCTTTCCCCTCATCAACCCTGCTGTTCTTCGAGTCTCAAAGATAGCAGAGTGAAGGAACAAAGGCTGCATGTGAAAATGTTAGTACCTGCTTTTTTGTAAGGAAAGATAAAAGTGTTCATTTAATTCCTTTCACATTGGGGTAGGCTGTATGTAGTCAATTCTTACCTAAGAATTTAAGAAGCTCGGGGATAAGCTTAAGAAGATGCATCTTAGCAGAAAACATGTGAAGGAGAGAGTGTTTGTGAAAGGGCATGTGTATAGTTTGGTGTTAATCCCTAGATAAGGAGCAGAAACTCTTGTGAAAATCTTTAGTTTATAAAACAAAACTCTGTCTGCAAAACAATCTTATGCTGCACCTCATTTTTTAAAGTTAGGTATGTGAGAAATCTTGGCAATAAGTGTCCTGTTAACATTTTATTATCAATTTTTTAAAAAGTTTTAAAAGTGGGTTTGATAAAAAATTGTGATATTAGAAATTCTCTTGGTAGGATTATAGGAGTGTAACAGCTGTGGTTTAAGCTCTGTAATTATACTGGGAAAATCTCTCTCTCCCATCTTTAATTTCACTGAAAAAGCTATTTATAGATGGTATATTTTTATATATGCATATGTGGACAGTGAATAACCATCTACAAGACTCCAGGAAACCTTAGAAGGGACCAAAAACCCTCCAATATGGGCTTAAGTAAGCAATTCATAAATCCATTCTATTTTTCTCTTATTTCCCCTCAGTGGTATAAAACTTGATGCTTCAACTTTTTCCAGTTGGTGATATTTCTTAACCTCTCAATCTGTTCCTCACATTACATCTATAAATGAACTAATTAAAAGGGGGTACAATAAAAATATTCCGGGAGTCTTTGGTAAACATGCATTGTACTTATTTTCTTTGGTTGTTAAAAAAAGACAATCACTTGGGATTTTGCAATAGAAATTTTTCACAGTAGTAGAAAACAATGATGTCCAGTTTCATTGGAGTTTTTAGATTGAAACAGACTACGTCGAATGAAAATTCACTTCCAAAAATCCATTAATGAAAACCCGATAGATTACAACAGTCCTATCAAGTAAACCGAAAGGTTAGCAGTTCCACGGGAGAAAGATGAGGCTTTCTGGTCCCGTAAAGATTGACAGCCTCCGAAACCCTGTACAGGGTCGCTATGAATCAGAACTGACTCCACGGCACTTAACAACAGCAAGGGAAGGGTACAGGTCAAAAGCAACCTTTCATTCCATTGTGCATGGGATTCCCTTCACATGGAGGCAGACTAACAGCAGCAAAGAATAACCAGTCCCTGGAGAATTACATCATCATCATGCTTG